GGGAGCCCGATGTGGGACTCGATCCCAGGACCCTGGGATCATGACCTGAGCCGAAGGCAGACGCTTAACGACTGAGCCACCCAGGCGCCCTCCCTCTTCAGTTTAAATAACACATCCTCAGAGCAGCTTTCCTTCATCATTCTCCTATTAGTCTCCCCTACAGTGGCAATCTCTACCACTCCTCTCTGTCACTTGTGCTTACTGTCAACATCTCTCTCCCCTCACAGACTGTGAATTCAGTAATGGAGGAATGTGTCTTGTTCGTAGCTGCATTCCTAATGCCTACCACACTTGGGACTTAGTAGTTACTTGATAAATGTTTGTTGAATGAAGGAAGGAACAGATGAATCAAAGAATATTTTCAAATTTACCATTCAGAATAAGTAAAATACTAGCTTGCTCTATAGTAACTTTCCTCTGACTAGTATGAAAAGGCAAAAGGAAAAAGACACGGCACTGATAAGGTTCTCACACTGTCAATCTACCAAATTCATCTTTCAGAGCAAACAGAATACTGTTCTAGGGGTAGCCATACTCCTAAAGTCCTTCATGAATCCTTTACCCTCTGTGGTATTATATGGCAACTGTTTACAGAGTATAAAGTGATAGCCCAAGGCTTGGTTAGGAAGTGAATAGGGGCATGTGCCATTTCCTTTAGATAGTTAAATACAGTTAAGATTAAATTCTAGATTCTAACAAGGTGAGAGCATAAACTCAAAAGACTTTTACAATCTCCATCCCCTCTTATCCGCTGGCTTAGATGATCTCCATATCTTATAGGGAGGGAGTCCCTCGATCCTATAACCGGGATTCTATACTCTTATTTAGCTCCTTTTATGCCTCCTAAGATGCATTCTTTTTCTTTCTTTCCCCAAGACTTATTTTTAAATAATCCCTATACCCAACATGGGGCAAAGGTACCTACCTATATAGAGTTTATGTTCTATAGGGAAAAAACAGACGAAAAACAAATATTTAAAAAAATAAATATTAGAAGGTATGAGGAAAAAAGAGAAAAGAAAGATGATAAGAATGTGGGAAATGCTGACAAGAGAAAAGATGGGTGCAATTTTAAACAGATGGGTCAGAGTAGTCTTCGTTGAGGGGATATGTGAGTAAACAGTGAGGGTTAATATATGGACTTACAGGGAGAAGTGTTTCAGACAAAGAGAACAAGTATGGCAAAGATTGAAAGGCAACGGCATGCCTTTCCTGTCCTAACAGTGGCAAAGAAGCACTAAAATTAGAGTGGAGTAAACAACAGAGAGTAGTAGACGTCTTCACAAGGAAGTTACCAAACAAGATCAGATCTTACAGCACCTTACACACCACTGTAAGGAATTTGGCTTTTACTCTGAGTAAAATATGAACCACCACACGGTTTTGGACAGAAAAGTGACATGATATGACTTACACTTCAAAGAGACCACTGTGCTGGCTATATTTAGGACAGAATGCAAAGGGGTAAGGGTAAAGCTGGAAAGATCAGGAGAATATTGTAGTAATTCAGTCAAGAGATGATGATGGCTTTGAGGGGTACCTGGCTGGCCCAACTGGTGGAGCATGTGACTCTTGATCTCAGGGTTGAATTCAAGCCCCACATTGTGTACAGAGATTACTTAAAAATAAATCTTGGGGAAAAAGAAAGATGATGATAGCTTGGATCAGGGTAGTTAGTAGCAGTGAAAGAGGTAAACTGGTCAGATACTAGGTAATTTTTGAAGGTTCAACAAAGAAGATTTGCTGATGCTTCAGATGTGGGATATATGAAAGAAGTCAAGGATGATTCCAAAGTTTCTGGCCTGAACAACTAGAATGATGGAAACAGTTATCTGAGATAGGGAAGGCTATGGATGGAACAGGTTTGAGGTAGAAGATTAGGAGTTCAGTGTTGGCCATGTTGATTTTGAAATAAATATCTTTTAGAGATCCAAGTGGAGATGTTGGGTGGGGCTGGATATAAAAATCTGTGGAGTTTGGGAGAAAAGTCTGGGGTGGAGATTAAAGGTTAGAAATCATCAGACTATAAATGACTATAAATGACATATAAAGCTATGAAACTAAATTAAATCACTCTGGGAGACAGTAAAGAAAATGTGATCAAGAACTAAGCTCAGAGGCATTCCAATTTTAAAAGGCTGAGAAGAGGAACCAGCAAAGGAGACAGAAGGAGCAACCAATACAGTAGGAAGAAAACCAGGGGGCTATGGGGTTCCTGCAAACCAAGTGAAGAATCAAAGAAAGAGAGACGAACTCTCTAAAATAGTTCTGATCCATTAAGCAAAGACTGTTGAGAGGAAGAACGCAGAAGTGGAAGCCAGGAAGGGGATAGAGGTGGTACTCTTAGCAAAATGTATACCTTCCCACCCTAATCCTTTCTGTGCCAAAAAAATTCCTAAATACTGGGACATAAACATGAATAATACACTGTCCCTGACTTCAAAATAGTCCAATTATGTGCTAAGAAATGTATAAAATTGGACTTTCCATTTTTTCTGAAGCACCAGCCCACTATATACATATATATATATTTTTTTTTTAAAGATTTTATTTATTTATTTGAGAGAGTGAGTGAGCGCGAGCTGGAGGGAGAGGGAGAGGAAAACAGGCTCCACACATAAAATTATGTAGAGATATTCTCAATTGGTTTGGCCAATGTAAGTTTTAAGAAAAAAGTGTCTTCTGCTTAAAATTATGTAAGCACTAAAATCTCAAAATAAAACAAAAAAACCTGCGTATTAGTAGAACAGTAAAAATATTTTTATGTTAACCATGGTTATCCTTGAAGAACGATCAGGCCACTTTTATTATTTGTGATATTCTCTATTTTTAAAATTAAAAACAGGGGCGCCTGGGTGGCTCAGCCGGTTAAGTGTCTGACTCTTGGTTTTGGCTCAGGTCACTATCTCCTGGGTCACAGGACAGAGCCCCGGGTCAAGCTTCCGGGGTTTGGGCTCCGTGCTCAGTGGGGAGTCTGCTTGAAGATTCTCTCTCTCTACCCCTTCCCCTACTCGAGCATGTCCATGCTCTCTTTCTCTCTCTAAAATAAATAGATAAACAGATAAATCTTTAAGCAAACAAAAACCTAAACTTACAACATTTGTACTACATTTAGGTAAATACATATTATTTTGTACTTAGTTTAAATTAATATTTACTTTTAATTTATGTTAACAAAAATAAACTCACTTGGGCATGAATGCTCCATTGGCTAATGATGGCTCATCATCATCCAGCCCATCGAAGAGATGTGACTTGGCTGTGCCTGTTGTTTGTAAAGCCTTTGGTCGAACTCTGGTGGCAGGGCGGGGTGTTAGTTTATAATGAGTAGGTGTAGTGAGAGCCTTCTGGGCTGCTGGATTTGTTGGTTTCAATCTCTGAAAAACAAAAGCATCAAGGAAAATTCCAGTTTAACTCAAATGCATTATTTGGCCTTAAAAAAAAAAATCTTAAGAACAGAATTCAAATATCTTTGCCATTTATCCAACTAGATACCTCTGTGTATTTTTCAACTAAACCAAAAATCTTTAACTTCAAAATAAACTGAGATGCACCATGAATACTCAACTTCTGTGCAATCCAAATCACTCTTTAAAAAATGGTTATTAGCTGGCATTTATTCAGCATTTAGTAAACATTGGTAGTTGCCATGAGTCAAACACTAAGTACAGGCAATAAAAATAATGAAATCACTTCCCCTGATTTTTGAGGAAATTACAAGTTAGTAGAAGAGACATACAACTAAAATAAGACTTTAGGTTGATTTTGATGGCACCTTTATTATTTTCTGTAACATCTGCTGGATGTTATACATTTGTTTTCCTACTAAACATTATACATAGGATTATATAACCACTTGAAACAACAATGTCTAACATATAAAACCCTGTCACAGTTTATGTTTCTCTTTACAATGCAGACTGTTTACACTTCAGCAACAATGAACATTCCTAGATCTTTTTTGTGATCTCTCACAATTGTGTGTCATTGCTTGGAATGTCTTAACCTAAATCTACCAACTTCTCCATATATACTCAAAAAAAGTTAAATGTTACCTCTTTTGCAAAGCCTTATCAAACTCACCCAAAAGTCTACGCTCTTCCTTAACATAATATTCACCATTTTAATGCAAACTCTTCAGGGGGGTTTAGTATATCTACTAAGTTGTGCAAGAATCACCACTATGTTAAGTCCAGAACATTCCCCTCACTCCAAAAAGAAATGTTGTGCCTCCCAATTCCAGTTTCCCTAGGCAAACATGAATCTACTGTGTCTCAATAAATTTGCCTATTCTAAGCATTTTATATGAATGGAATCATGTGGCCTCTTGTGTCTGCCTTCTTTCACCCAGCATAATGTTTTCAAGGTTCACCCATGTTGTATGTAGCACGTTACCAGTACTTCATTCCTTTTTATGGCTGAATGACATTTCATCATATATATGTGTGTATATATACACACACACACATTTTGTTTATCCATTCATCCGCTAATGGGCTATTTTATTACTGTATTTACTATATTGAGCTTGAGTAAATTTAAACACATTAACAGGGCCGCCTGGGTGGCTCAGTCGTTAAGCCTCTGCCTTCAGCTTGGGTGATGATCCCAGGGTCCTGGGATCGAGCCCCTGCATCGGGCTCCCTGCTCCACGGAAAGCCTGCTTCTCCCTCTCCCACTCCCCCTGCTTGTGTTCCCTCTCTCGCTTTGTCTCTGTCAAATAAATAAATAAAATCTTAAAAAAAAACCAAAAACACACATTAACAGATCCAATCTTCTGACTAAATAAATAGCAAGCTCTTAGAAGATAAGTTCTTGTTTTCATTTTGTATCCTCAGTACTGAACACAGTGACTAGAACATATTTAGGCCTATAATTATGCTGCACAAATAACACATAATTTTCTTTTCTTTTTTAAAGTAGGCTCCATGCCCAGCATGGAGCCCAATGCAGGGCTTGAACTCATGACCCTGAGATCAAGACCTGAGCTGAGATCAAGAGTTAGACACTTAACTGACCAAGCCACCTAGATGTCCCACACAAACTTTTCATCTAAGCAAAACTTGTATTTATGCAGCATGTTAAAAAGCACTTTAGATTCCTATCTTATCTTTATATCTAGTTATAGGGTAAACTCAAAAAACCAGTGAGGGAGAAACGAGATGACATAAATAACTGAGCAATAGTACCTGTAGACTAACCAACTTATTATAAATAAGCCAGGTATGCATTATCTCACTTAATTCTCAAGATTAAAGAGTATTACTATCCCCATTTTACAGATGAAGAAACACATTCAGAAGCAGAAAGACATGCTCATTGTACATGGTAACACAAGGATTAAACAGACCAGAGCCTACTTTTAACCCACACCACAGTGAGCAGAAGATCACTTCTTTGACACTAGAGCATAAAAAATTAAGACAAAGTTAACTGTAGAAACCAGGAGAAAAGATATTGATATGCCACTTAAGAATATTATGATTTTCAGGGGTGCGTGGGTGGCTCAGTCGTTAAGCGTCTGCCTTCGGCTCAGGTCATGATCCCAGTGTCCTGGGATCGAGCCCCGCATCGGGCTCCCCGCTCTGCAGGAAGCCTGCTTCTCCCTCTCCCCTCCCCCTGCTTGTGTTCCCTCTCTC